GAAAGCACCGAGTCGCTCGATCAGCTTTGCAATTGCGAAATGTATTTGACATTTTCTGGAGGGAGGACTGCTCCCACCCCCGGCTTAGGTATTCGACGACAATGTTAATTCCAAGCGCAGTGCCACGACTTATGATCCAGCCTTACATTGTCTATACTTGAGAGAAAAGTTCAGCCTCAGGTCGTATATGGTGTTGATTTGAAAGAAGATGTTATTTGAGATAACGATAAGGCGAAACAAGCATTACAAACTTTTTCCGATGGTGGGATGCTTCCCTGATACAATATGTCGTGCTTGTGCAGTGAATCAAATTTAGTGCTAACAAAATCTAATAATCGCCGCAGGCTCTATGCTAAGACCGGTGTTGATGGTCGTTTCTGGAGTGTTTATTAAATACCTGGCTCACCATCAGTGCTGGCAGTGGCAGAAGGCACCCAGGCCAAGTATGAGCCGCGCCGGCCAGCCAACCGTCGTCGGAGCTATTCTGGCGGACAAATAAACCCCTACACTCGCTGAAATAGCCGACAGATAAACTCCGGAATGCCCAAATGAGGAACGTATTAACCAAGCCCAGGTTATATGGACTGCGCCACTCTGAATAACTAATCCCCTTACATGATCTCGGCATCGCGGTGAAAAACAACGAACGGTTGGAAATTTGCCTAATGTTATTCTCGCTCTGATTTTCTCCCATTAGGCTCTACCGCTAAGCGCAGACTCGCATTTGAGAGCTACTCTGCATTTCAAGGCGTTCCTACGTCATTTTCAGCCTCCCATTGATTTTTGTGCCTCTGACGCGGGGCGGTGCTGGGTTCCGGCGGAACCCTGTCTGGTTGAAGCGCCGCAGACAGGCGCGGGCCGGGGAGATGTTTTTACACCCCGACGTCGTGCGGCGGTTTTATTGATACACGAGATGGCTACATCGCGGCCAGCCGACGGTCCAACAAAACGTTTATCTTCATAGTTTCCACATCAGCGCTCGTGTGGCGCCGTTCATCTCGACCGCGGTCGTTGTTTCAGTGTAGTTCTGTGATGTGACTGATGATATGGCGGCCAGAGAAATGAAACTGGGATGGCCAAATTCATAAAACTGATGACCAATGTCACCCCGAATCTTCCCTTGTGACAAAGCTCAAAGCTACACTGTTTTTGTCCACAAACTTAGCATTCCCTACGCTGTGCACCGGTGCAGCAGCTACAATGTTACCTATGTGTGCGGTTATGCGAACAAAGCTTCAAGTGCTGGCGCAGTAATTTAGATTCCCAATCCACTTCAAACACAGTACGTGCATCCTTTATTAGTTTGCAATCGTCTGACTACGACGTAGTGTTCCATACACTAAGCTTCTGGCATTCTAAAACGAGTCCATTGAGGGCTCCAGCCCCCCACCGTCATCCCTGGACCCCTGGGAACCGGTTTGTGTTGGGGCGTCGGTCGGCCCGTCCGCGAAGCAACTCCCCGAGAGAGCACACCATGCAGCTCCCCAGACTGCAAGTGTCGCGCGCGCGTCAGATTACTGCCCGAGGCAGTGGTGACGACGGTATGGAGCGAGTCACAGCTGTCGCGGAGCGGCCAGGAGGGGAGCCACCCCACCCCGCGGCCGGCGCCGCTGCTACTGGCAGACGGCAGATTGGTACTTTACTCGGTAATAAATCTGTTTTATTGCTAGCGATAGCTTTTCTTTGGTATGGAGCTGCCGTAACCACGCAAAAATAGATCAGCTTGGAATACGGATGAACTTTTGAGCTCGACTTTCCTGGGGCGATTTCTCATAAATGCTGTTGGAATTAAGCCCACAGGTCCCAGCCGCAGTCGTTTTCAAGAGAAACACTCCGGACATTAACCCGCGACCTGGTGGGGGGGGGGGCTATTTTTTGCACCCCCCCCCCCTCCAGACTTTTCGATATATCTCCAGAACCGCTGCGCCGATCGTCACCAAACTTTCAGTACCCTCCCGGACATCAATTTTACACATTGTGACCAAAAATTTTTTCCAATGGCTATGATAGGTTGGCCGGAAATGACGTCAGAGTGACGTCATGTTCCGCCGTTTTCGACCCAAAAAAGGGTTTCGCGGGAAGAGCTGTCAGGCCTATAGCTTTGCAAATACAGAAAAATGATAAGGACATAAAAGCTGTATATGGGACAGGGCTACAGAACTGCTATCTCGGATTTTTGAAATTTTTGGATTTTGACCCCCAAAAAATAAAAAAATAGATTTTTTGGATATAATTATCGAAAAATCCAAAAAGTTTTTTGAATTTCGCAAAAACCGGAATATATGTGATAGTCCTTACCGCTTTCCATCCACATACCAAATTTGAGATTGATACCTCTTTTTTGGCGAAGTTATAGCCAAAAAAACTGTTCAAAATTGATGACGTCAAATTTTCAAATTCAATTTTTAGCAATTCTAGACCTCGTAGCGCAAAACAAAGACCACCATTAGACTCCTCCCCGTGACGAGCTGCATCGAATCAATACCCATTTTATGCAAAACTATCAACTTTAAAATTTGACCTTTTTTGGCCGGACCTTGACCTGACCTTGACCTGAACTTCACCAGAAAGTGACCTTAGCCGTACCTGATAGTCTTATAACCAACACCATTGAGTTGGAAATGAAAAATTGGCCATAAAGCATGTATCACACAACCTTAGAAAAGTTGGGCTCATGTGACCTGACCTGTGACCCTTGGTGACCTGACCTGTGACCTGACCTGGTATTGCCAGTGACCTCTAATAGCAACATATCTACTAGGCAACTGACGCTCTACCGCTGATTCTCGACAAAATGCGTTTTCCTCGGTGTTATAGCGCATTCCCTAAAACACCCGTGAACGGAGAAACATTTCATCTTTGACCTGACCTGTGACGCCATCGGTGACCCCGAAGTCAATGAAATTTGGTTTCCTGCGACAAATTTGACAGGCCTTTCGAACGCCGTTTGAATTTTGCGGATCCGTCCAGTAGTTTCGGAGATACGAGGGGGGGGGGGGCAAAAAATAGCCCCCCCCCCACCAGGTCGCGTTATAAACAGACCCCACCAGGGCGCGGGTTAAAGTTAATATTTTATAGCTATTTCAGACAAACCACTGCGATGCCAAATTTGAAATGTTATTTTATGATGCGCTTTCATTGGAGCTAAGAACATGCACTTTGATACAGCGAAAGGAAAGCTTTTAACACACAATCTTTCGGAACCAACTTGCCTAAAAATTTGCTGGAGTCTCATTGATGCCCGGTGGATGGCCTGTTTAGTGTTTATGTATTACATACTTGTGACAGCTCAGTTAACAAAATAGTGGAATCGTTTCTCTTCTATGTTTTCTAAATTTCGCCGTAGTCGTCGTTTTCATTTCGTGTGATAGGCCTAGGCCGCGACCTCACTGCTTTGCTTACAAACCTGCCGCTAGATGTCACTAGCGGCGAGCGCCTGTAGTTATGCTGCACCGCAGTACACTGGGGCGCGCGGAAGGCACGCAACCGCTAGAGTGGATTGGAGTTAGCCCGTGTTGTTTCAAACACACACGTTTTTTTTTTTACCTGGAATGTCAGTAACTGTACGTGGTATCGGGTAAGAAATGCGGGGTTTATCGGATTGATAAATGGTCGCTCCTTTGTATTCAAACTTTTCTCAGTCCCATAGGCTGTGGGTATCTGGTGACGGAGCTTTTCATACTGCTCACGGCGTCCATCTTGACGTGTCATCCTCCCATTCATTGCCCCCGTAATCCTTTTGTCACTGTCACTGATCTCTTAACCCCCCCCCCCCCCCCCACCCAGCCCGACTCCCACCGGCCACTATGTCTCTCCCCTCCCATCCCCCATCCTCCCCCGACCATCGTATCCTTGGAGGCTGGACGGCCTGCCGGAGGAGCTCGCGACAAAATCAATATCTGATTAACGAGCGGGCCGCGTCTCGGTGATCAGCGGGGAGGTGCCGTACGGAGCCGTACGGAGCCGTACGGAGCCGTACGGAGCTGTCGGCTGCACGCAGTCGGTGCGCGGAGGGGAGCCGAACGCCCCCACCTGAATACGGGGAGCGGGTATTAATGGAGGAGGCTGCCGGTGATAATTGTTGATTTGCTTGGTGGGATGTTGAGTGAGTGGAACGGTTTTGTTGATAGTGTTGTGGAAAGTGCGTGCCTGTAAACTGCAGGCAGTGAGTAAAGTGTAAGTCAGTCAGTAAAGTGTAAGTCAGTGTAAGTGTTAAGTGCGTTTGGTGAAGTGCAGTCAGCTCCAGTGAATAGTGGCGTGTTTGTGAGCTGTCAACGTCAGCTGTCAATGTGCTTTGACAGGTGTGTCTAATTATTCAATTATTCACCGAGCGTGTCTAAATCAGGCCTCTGTCGGTGATGTCTCTCCATTTCGGGAAAGCGTCCCGCTTCATCGCAATGCATTACTCTGATTATACCGCTGATGGCATTATGCAGACTAATCCCAATTCTCAGCGGGGGCTCGTGGGTGGCGTCAATCCCTCCCCAACCCGTCTGAGTTGTGGGATGGGGCGAGGGGGGAGGTGGAGGTGTACCATTTTCCCCAGTCCCGCCGGTATGGCTGCACTTTGCAGCGGTAGCGTCGGTGAATGCCGGGATCAACCCTCGACAGGCTGCTGCAAAGTTGTGAAGTGGCGCGAGCACCATCAGTGAGGTCGATAACTTGCTGGTCCGCTGCTGTTTGCGTGCTTCACCTGCAAACTGATTTTACCTTTTTTGTTTTCAGTAGACATCCATTATCCTACGTAACATCAGTGATATGTCTACCGTCTATGCAGTGTAATATCTTACTAAGGTCTGCTCTTGTCCCGGTAATTGTTTGGCTGTCCGTTTGATACTGTGCCGGCATATAGTCCTGCATCCATCAGTTGTTATCACTTTGTGGTCTGCCCATTCTCCTATCTGACCGGCGAGAGGGGCGGACATTCAGCTCGTTATCTAACCGCGCCCTCATCCCTCTATCGTAGACAGCCCTCTCACAGTCTGTCTGTTCTTCCTCAGCCACGGAGACCTGGGAGCGAGTGCCGACCACCGAACCCCAGCCGGCGCCCCGCTCCCAGTCCGCTGCCGTCGCCGTCAGCGCCCTCCTGCTGCCAGCCGAGCGGCGCCGACTGCAGCGCCCCCTCAGCCGGACGGCGCCCGGCGGAACTACTCATCCGACCGAGTCCGGCCGGCCGGTGGTGCCTGTGGTTCACGCTGACGTGCTGTATGCGAAACGGCGCGTGCAAGTGCGGCCGGCGGAAACGGTGGACGAGGCGGGTGAAGAGAGAGTGGGGGAGAACGAGGAGAGAGCGCGGCTAACCCAGTCGGGGTCGGGGCGACCTGGTGCGGGCGGCGCCTGGCCCCGAGTGCACGCCTCTGGCAGTCAGTTGCTCTGGAGGATATCCCAGGTGAACCTGGCCGTCCGCCAGCAGCCCGGCTACTCGGCGCTCAGTAACGGCAGCACAGACAGTGTGGAGATGCAGCCACTGGGCCAGTCGGCCGCCGGAGCGGGACAGGGCGACATGACCAAGTCGTTCAGCACTTACGCCATGCCGCCAGTGGACACTACCTCGGACTGTGGAGGATTTCCCCGAGATCACGTCTCGTTTCCGGACCTCTTGGGTGACGCGGTGTCCCCGGCAGGACACGGCGAGTCGCGCGTTATCCGCCACCCGGGACAGTGTCCTCCGATGCCTACCGGAAACCGTTCTCCGCGGCTGACCACAAGGGGCTGCTCCGGTGTGTCGAGCCGCTCAGGACTGTCAACAAGCTCGGCTGCTCGGCTCATCTGCACCACACATGGAGCGGATGATGTCACCTCTGACTACTCCAGCATCGAGCACTGCGACATCACCGGCTACGATAACCCCAACTACGTCGGCTATCGCGCGGCGGCGCGACGAGCGCACGACGAGTTGGAGATGGCGCCTCTGAGCCGGTCTCGGGACTCTGGAATCTCTGAGCGTCGCCGCTCCCCGTCCAGCAGCCCTGTGCTGGACGAGTGCGATCAGACTCTGATGCCGTACTATCCGGTGTATATGTACACCCTCGGGGGTCAAGAGTCGTCGTCCATCACCAGGTTCAAACGACCCCTTTCAGTGTGGCGGTTCCAGTTAGCGTAATAAAACTGTAACAGGGCTGCCGGCCGAGCACTGAGCAGCAAGAGCTTTCGGCAATGGGCTGCCCAGAATGCAAATCAGTGTCGTGTTTTCATGCGGCGTACCTAGTGACAGGGCCTACGGTTCTGTTTGATCTCGAACCCGAACTGTTCGTTTGTGCGAGCTGCGTGCGGTAGCAAAGTTTCGTTAAGGTACGATGTACTGTGTAACGCTCATTTTGCGCTCCATTACGTTTTATGCACTAGTTGCAAGCAGAATGTCATGTAACATGAGTTATAGCATAATCTGAGATGGCATTGTTAGGCTGTGTAAAGCCAAACTAGGGAACTGTTCTGCCTCTTAGCGGAGCTCTGCTACGCATAGTCATGTGGTGGGCAGTTCTCTAAAAACCCTGTTGGCACTCGTTTAGTGACTGTTTTAGCAAACTGACAGTTAAAGACTGATGACTAATCTCGGCACCTGCAGGCAGCAGGATGTGGTGTTCGAACTCAATGAACAGAACACAGAGGAAGACATTTCGTTCAGGCATGTGTCTGATGACATACCTGATGATCATTAGATAGGTAGTCTGGTACTTGCTTCGATAAAAAACGTCAAAATGTGTTTCACCTTACCGATGACTGAAAAAGTAAGCTGTAGGTATCTGTTGCGGTCTAACATTCCTGGTTTTAAACGTGGGTGACACAAGGCTGTCTTAAAGTAGTTTATTGGTGACGGAATGCACCTGTTCTGATAGGACACACCATTTAACTCGAATAACCGAAATAACCGAAAAACAATGAAATGCACCCACTATACTCAGTCTTCCAGTGTAGACACAGCCTACAGAGTTTGATGTTTTGTCTTCAGTTACCCCCAACGTCAAGTCATCCTGTACAGCGCTTTCCCGGTTCTCAAGTTGAAATAATTAGCCGTTCTCGGTTTCTATACCACTCAGTGGTCTCATAGCCAGGTGATAGTTCTCCTTCTCGAGTGACTTGTTCTCGGTTATCGCCGATTCGGATCGTCCGCTTGCTGTGCAAAGACAGTTGCGTCCAGACATGTATAGTGTTGTGCTGGTGTTGTGATTACCTGCTTTCTCAGACGCTCTCAGTGCCGTGTGGCGCCGGTCGAACTGTAACATGTGCAATCATTGGTGCTGGCTGTCGTTGGGAGCATCTGCTGATCAGTTTTCGGTGCAGTGCGTAGGCTTCGTAGGTCGTTCGCGCTCACTGCCAAATATACTGGCGCTTATTGGAGCCCGATCGCTTTACCATGGCATGTTTGTAGAAAATCCAGTTCACGAGCTCTGACAAGCTGTGTTTTGTTGGAAACGCAGATGGAAGGTGAATGGAATCGAAAATCGTAAAAGCCGCTTTCCGAATAATAAGTCCTTCCGACAGGATGCGTACTGGCCACTGGGTTTGTTGACTGAGTGAAGACCGACACTTTGTGACCTTCTAAGGAGTGAGGCCGAGACCTGAGCTACCGTCAGGCATGAGGCAGTTGATCCCTCTCAGCAATCCTCAACACACACTTGTCCTGGTACCTCAACTCCCTGTTCCGACCTGAACGGTCGGACCACCGTCCATCACTGATCTGATCATCCCGATGAGTTCAGCTACTTTCAGTGCGGCTCTTATAAGGCCGTGGGAGCAGGCTCCCGAGGCCGAGGCTTCCGCGTGGTGGGACGACCGGGTTGCGAGGCCAGTGTTCTCTAATACTCTGGCCATTTTAGGTTAGATTAGGTAACTAGTTAGGTCATTCCCTCGTGACCGTCCCCGGCCTCTGCCGCCCCGCCTGCTCGGCCAACAGGCTCAGCGGCACAGGCGCACCACGGGCACGGTGGCTGTCCAAGCCAATAACGCGCCCCATGTAAAAACCGCGCTGATACCGATACTAATCATGATAAATAGCCTGGGACAGGGCCTTTGGCTGGATCCCAATAAGTTATAATTCCTTAATGGTTGTGATTACAGACGAGGAAGTTTCTTTTCAGAGTTCCCTTTACGTTCAAATATGGTAGCAACTCTAAGTGGTAAACCTGGCGCAGCAGTTTCATATGTTCTCTGTACAGATTATGTTCACTTTCTGCTGCCTCTGCATTTATAGCGCCAATGACATACAATCAGCAAATCAAAATAATTTAACATCGAATCAGCTGCAAAATTTTGGATAATAAAAACACGATTGGTAATAGCATTGCTGAATATAGAGGGTGAGATCGCGATATGCTGAATAAAGTAAATAATATGAATATGAGGTACAGATGCAGCTGCTGCGCGCCCTAACTCTTGAACAACGAGGTACAGCTGTGATTGTGGTGAATTGTAAATATTTTGGATTTATGCGCATGCTCATATTTTGGATTCATTTATGTGTACAAAATTCACATGCCTACTCATGCTCGCTCATGTGGACTTTGCCTGTATTCTGTTTGAGACATGGCATAGGTACTGAACTACTGATACACTTGAATTGATCATTTTTGATTTTAGTTTTTGCCTATTGGTTCACAGATCCTGCCTGCATGTTTCGAGCATGCATTGGCATAAGTTATTCTGCTTCAAATGGTACTGATCAAATCGCTAAATTTTGTGCTTTGCTCCTCAATGATAATGAAAAGGAGATTCTTCTTCTTCTTCTTTGTGGGTTAGGGCGCGCAGCCGTCAGGCCCTAGCGTCCAACTTCTTCGTTTCTTGCATTCAACTGTCCGATCTTCCACGATGTAGTGTCGGGAAAGGAGATTGGATAAATGGCTTCACCGACACTCAGAGTCAAATTAGAATTAGTGGCCTGTAAGCCAAATTGATTGGAATGCATTCCTCACATTTTTTGTATTGTTAGTGTCTGCATTCCCTGTTGACCCGCTGTTGACTTTCAGATGAGGTGAACCTCCATCAAGTACCTACACTGGTTAATGATTCTGAATAGGTTACCAAATGAGATAAAATAATTTTGTGTGACTGTGCCCCCTTGCATGGATCAAAATGGATATTGATTTAAACTTACCATTACAAGTTCCATGTCATGTAAAGTCAGCTCAACCTGAACCACAGTTCTTATTTTTATTTCATGAGCCAAAATATGAAGACTTCTTTCATCACTTTCTATCAAAAAATGGCCCATGTATTCTGTCATGTGGTGTAACAGATAAATGGGATGCTTGCAAGAACTGGGTTGATGCAAGAGGAGAACCTGATCTTCAGGATATCTGCAAATACTTTGGTAGGTTCTCAATAATTCTACAATCATTGCAATCATTGCATGCATCTTTAGTGCCAGATGGAAAATCATGACAATGGTAGCATATTTCTCACACAAGAAATTGTAATCATTTCAGGTGACATTGAAGTTCCAGTGGCCAACTGTTCAGAAAAGTACTTTGACTCGCAGCCAAAGACTCAGCAAACTCTGGATGAGTATGTCACCTACATGAGACAACCAAATCGCCAAGGATGTCTGTACCTAAAGGTAAATATGCCATATGTTTGGAAAACATGATGGAATATCAGTCTTTTGTAATAAGAAAAGCAATCTCTTATAGGAAGAAAGCTATAAAAATAACAACTTCAGTTAAAATTCAAACAACATTTTACTGTAGGTAAATGAAGTTCCTAGTAAAACGAAGTTCCTCACTTGCATTACATTGCACCTGCAATGTCATGACGCGTATTACACCTGTCATGTGGATGGTAAACAGATCAAAGCTCATCTGGTATTACTTCATCATTACTTACCTACCACCTTCGTCCCGTAAAACCACGATGACTCAAACCGCCCCGATCCTCCATCTCTCCCCACAGGACTGGCATCTGCAGCGTGAGCAGCGGCTCCGCCGGCCGGACGACCCTCCCTTCTACCGGACTCCGCGCCTGGTGGCCTCCGATTGGCTCAATGAGTTCTGGGAGGCCCGGCCGGAGAAGGCAGATGACTACCGATTCGTCTATGTCGGCGTCGCTGGAACATGGTGAGTGCGCTCTCGTGGTTTGGATGATTCGAATATTGGAAAATTGAGGCTGCCATAAGTAGTCAGTTTCTTATACATTGTTCTATATTACTGATCGTTTTAATTGGGGTCAAATAAGGTGCACATTTGGTATGTTGGTGACGTTTGCTGAAACATCTCTCGTCCGTCGGTAATGAACGAGAGAGACTCCTCGGTTGAGCAGGGCTCAAAACATACGGACGTCTTTCACGGAAGCTTGGAGACGGGTCACTGTGTCTGACCCTTGCTGTCTGTATGACCCCTACCCTCTCCCCCCGTAGGACCCCATTCCACGCCGATGTGTACCGCTCGTTCAGTTGGTCGGCCAACGTGTGCGGCGCCAAACGCTGGATCCTACTGCCACATGGTGAGGAGGAGAAACTACGCAGCCTCTCCGGACTGCCGTTTGATGTCGCTAGTGTGCTGGGCGCCGAGAGTGCAGACCAAGCTTTGGGGTCCAAGGAGCTCCGTGCCGGCATCAGGAGCAGCGACGGTGCAGTCGAAGCCGGTGAAGATGCTGTCCCCCTCCAGCCTCGGACCTCCGCCGACGGTGTGCGGTACTTTGACGTTCGTCAGGAGGCGGGAGAGGTGATGTTCGTCCCCTCCGGCTGGCACCACCAGGTGTGGAACCTCCGAGACACCATCTCCATCAACCACAACTGGTTCAACGCGTCCAACATTCATCTGGTCTGTGAACACCTAATGGCCTCGCTGGCGGACGTGAGAGCAGAGCTGGCCGATATCGCGGACAGCTCGGATGAGTTCCTATCGCAGTGTCAGACCCTGCTCCGAGCCACACATGGTATGGACCTAGCAGAGATGACTGAACTGCTGTGTTTTACCATCAGTCGGAGACTGGCGGCGCTGGCTGGCGGGGAGCCGGTGATGGGACTGGATGGGTACCGATACGGGCGGGGTCACCTGGTGTATGATGTGAAGTGTGCGAGCAGAGAGCTCAGGAGGCTGCTCGCGCGGGAGGAGTTCGGGAGGCTGGAGGAGCTGAGACGGTGGCGGACGGAAGCCGAGCGGCTACTGGAAGAACTAGAAGTGTTTGACTTGACGGTAGATGGCACGACGGATAATGACACAGTGTAGCATCGCGTTTGCTATGTGAGAGCGCTGTGAGAGCTGTTATCTGGGCTCTGTTTCACGGCCTGACGCTGCAGTGCGCTACGCCACGCTACTGTATTGGTGCGGCGTTTGAGACGAATCCGCCTCGGCACTCCAGCGTTGCGAGCGTCCGAGTTTGATAGTACACCGATACACTTAGCGCGCTGTAGCGTCGTGCCGTGAAACAGGGCCCTGGCAACTCCGGTGTCTTCAACGTAGACGAATGTCTTTAGCGTCGGTTGTCAAAGTACGGGTCTAACGAAGTGTGTATAGCTGCATCGTGCATGGTGAGGTTCCGCCAACGGATGGGTTTTGTGTGACGTCCATCAGCGATTGAGGACATAAGCGACTTGGTCATCGCACTGTGATAATGCTGTTTTTTTTTCAAGGCTGGTCGATGGTGTTATCGACAGTGACTCATATTTATGTAACAATGAGCTCGTAAATGTGTAGTTTACGCCGGCTTGGCTAGTTTGGCTGGCTAGTTTACGTGTTCTCGATTCATGGAGTAAGACGGTCTGGCTGTAGCTGCTTATACTAAGCGGGAAAACTTGTTCAATAGTCATCGTTACGCGCAGTTATATAAGAGCTGAATTCCTGGGGCTTGAAGGCCGTCTCCCCACCCCATACAGGACAGAAATGCAGGCTCACTGTCGGTTGATAACATCAGACTTTCTTCTGTCAGCTATCGGCCACCCCTTATATTCGCGCCATGATGCGCTAGTCATACGCGTTGTTGTTGCGAATCGGACAGGGATTGGCTGTACGTTTTAATCGGCTGTGTCGGTGCAAGCCGATATATTTAGGTTTATAGCGCTATCAACTCCCAGAGGCCTTGTGAACAAACATCGTCCAACAGTACACGAAGGAATATGTATTTTGTACAAAACCGTAATGTGATACAAATCTGAGAAAATAGCGCACGCGGCCCACAGTTCCTCATGGCACGTAACCAAACACGAAGGATTACGGCCGGCGGCGAATGACGCGTCTGCCGACGACGAATGACGGGTCCGTCGGTTCACTCGGGAGACTACCAACACAACCGGCGGCACGGGCGGCCGGCGGGCTGCCCTCCGTCTCGAGTGACCGAGGCGGCAGCAGCCGGCCGGCCGCGGGGACAGGGCACCGGAGACGCCATAACACCGCACTGACACGCGCGCGGAGCCCTCAGCGACTCCAAACTGAGGCGCCGACAGATCACTCCGCGTAAAACATTCTCACCCACTCAGCACAGACATCGCTAACCGTTTCACGGACGCCACAACACATCTCTGCAGATTCACAGCATCTTGCACAGGTTCATTGTCACAAAATCGCAGTCACATCCGTTCTGCAGCATCTGAGCATCATCACCTCCCACACACACACACCACAGACCTCTGTTCCCGCTCAACACAGTCCACTGTCAGTGCGCGGCAGTTCCGCGCAGCCACAGTCAGTTGCCGTAAGTACCCGCGCACTGGGTGTCTCTGTCACACTGCGCACTGCCAGACGTGGGGCGCCGGCCGCCCCCGTCCCAGCGAGGCACCGCGCCTGGCCGGCCGGCGCACCGCGCGAAAGGACAGACACTAGAAGAGGCCCTTTTTCTTCTTTTTCCCATCTACCGTCCTGAAAGAGAGGATGCGGGTGTGAGCGCGTGTGCGGGCCGTGGCGCCGTGGTTCCAAGCAAGGCGGGCGCTTAGCCGTGAGGTCAGGTGGTGCGCCTGAGTGTCCAAGTGACTGGCACCAAGTGCGCACAAAGCTTACTCTTTAAACGAAACCAAAAGATTTTCAAGTGTGCTATAAAGAAATACAGAAGCTCGGCAAAACGTCGCACATTCAACCATCAACCTAAACGCTCACTACTTAAAACTAAAAAGAGAATAGGCAAGACAGAAGCCGAAAGCGACTGGCCTCTGAAGCCCGTATGCCAAGATAGCAGCACAGAAGAAACAGAAAAAAGATCCAAAGACCCTGGGCTGGACGGACAGAAAGCAATGGCAGACCCTGCGACCAAAGCTACATTGAGACGGACATACGGACACGGGTTAGTCGGAGGCCGCTGGGCCGGTTAGGTTGATCAGGAACGCTGTAAATCCGTCTCTAAATGGACGGGACGATACGGGGAACCGACCAAAAAACGACATTGACCACACTCAGACACTTTCTGGAATGAATTTACGGACAATGGTACATGCTGTTTTTATTGCGGAGCAATTAATCTATTTTGTTATCGCGCTCATACCAGTGCTTCAGAGCGCGAGTACACATCGCTCAAAGGTAAACCCATTGAGAGGGTTGACGACACGAAAATGCATCAAGATGAATGAACCCAAACGTTTCCGACTTGGATCTCGCATCTGATTATTCATTTAGCGTGTCGTGAAAAATGGTTAGACGGCATTTATGCCCTCCTTGTTACGTGCAACAAGCCGCTAGGAAAGCTACCTTTGGCGGATAAGCCAGCTATGGGTCCCGTTTCTTCCAGACTACTTCTCACTCTCGGACGCTAAACTCTATTCCGCCCACTATGTGAAATGTGAGTCCCCAGCTCTCCGCTACGACCTAACATACAAGCCATGACGCCGAGGCGCGCTGCTGTCGTATTAGTGAGCGCTCGACGCGCTATAAGACAAGCCCGCTGGCCTGCCGCTGAGACAGGACTGTTAGGTTAGCAACGGAGCAGTGCGTATACCAACCGCCGTGGGCCGGGCTGTCTCAGAGGACCCCGGACAGCTTAGACACGGACACTTTCCACCGGGAGCGGCCACCGCTGTAAAGACCCGCACCAGTCAGCAGTCAGCAGTCAGCGATCAGCACCCTCCACCGCCACCACCGTCAGATCAGCAGGTCAGCCGGCCGGCGCACCACACGGAGTCAGAGACGGCGCAGTTTCACACACTGGGACCGAGCGAGTACAGCGAGGGTAAGACCAGGGCCAGGGACGGGCGACGTGAAGCAGCGTTAGCTCAGCTAGTCGCAAGTCGCAGCAGTTTTGTTCAGTCGCCGGGCGCCCGTTCACTGCTGGCGGCATCGCTCCTCGGCCTGCGCACCGCGCGCCCTGCCCCGCCCGACGACAGGCCGAGGGCCCGTCGGCGCCGACAGGGTGCGATGGAGCACCACCTGAGCGGCGGCAGCGGCGGGCGCGGCGGCGGGCCACCTGGCCAGCGTCCAGCCGGCGGCCGGCCGCAGCCTGCCGGCCGGCGGGTTAGTGAGGGCGGCCAGCGGAGCCACACGTACAGCCCGACACCGGGCGCCGAGCGCGGACAGACAGACGGACAGACAGACAGAGCGCAGCGGCAGCGGGAGAGCCGGAGAGAGAGAGGGGGGGGGGGGGAGGTCAGCGCGTCACTTACACAGACCGGAGGTCAGCGCTAGAAGCGCGCCTTAAACTGCCTGCTCAGCGTCAGCAAACTCGAGTGTTTGGTCAGCGTTCTGCAAACACCGTGCCGTGTTAGGGCGGCCGCGCTCGGCCAATGGCGGCACCGCAGCTGCCGGCGGCGACCAATCACAGCGCGACAATTGCCCTTCAGAGCTGGCCAGCCAATCAGAGGCGGCACTCGCTCGGAAAGAACCAATAGACGGGCGGGGATTGAGTCGCCGCCGACAGCTGGCCAATGGGAGACGCCCCTGTCAGGCGGGGACCAGTGACACTCGATGACGTTAGTACAGCCCGGGGGCGGGGGGCGGGGGAGAGACCCGACCGACCCAGAAGCGGAGAGACAGGCGACTCAAGAGATTCACACATCCAAGCGGCAGGTTACAACAACCAGCGTTCACAACAAAACAAAGCCGTATCGCATTTCATGTGATCATCTTTGAGACAAAAGTGCAAAAATAAATTGAAACAAAACAATTAACAGGCAACGGCGAACTGAAAACATAACGGTGCAAAACAAATAATGTCCAGCTGAACAGCCTCAACATCCATGCATTTACATACATTGTCCTGGTACCTCAGGTCCCAAACCTAATGTGCTTTGTGCAGCAATGTTGGAAGCTCTGTGTCCCTTATTCCATTCAAAATAGTATCCCTCCGTATTGGGCATCACTACAATGAATCCGTGTGAAATATGAGCCTTTAAAGTTACAGGAAAATACTAGGAAGTTGACCCATTTAACTACCCCTATCTGATAGTGCATACCTTACACTTTACAGCCCAGTCCCCAAAAGCTTTCAGCAATAGCCCATGTTGTACCACCATTACTGATCCTTCATGCTACATTTACATAAGCCTCGTGACAAAACAACAAACAATATCATGAGCACCGCAAAGACGTGTCGTACTGGCTGTATTTCTTTTTGTGTGCAAAAAATAAATAAATAAAGGTAAACTCCCGCACTACCAATGTAATTGAGAGCTTTTGACGTTTTAATATCTCCCGTAATCGTTATCCTGGACCTGAACCACAATATTGCCCCTAGCCGCCTTTGCACTATCTGCTTCCAAATGCGACTCTTACCCCAAACTTATCCAGTGTATTCTGAGAGTGGATCATAACCCCCATGTGAATGTATGGCACTGCCGTGTTCATGTCCCGTTATCACAACCCTGCCAATGTCCCACACAAACCCATACGTCACCACCCTTCCTCCCACCCAGCCACCCCAACTCACTCCTTGCTGTGGGACTCGAGCTCCCGCCGGCGAAGCTCGGCCACAGTAACGCCGTTCAGTCGTTCCCAGTCGTCCCGTTCCCGGCGGAACGCGGCGCGGCGCTCCTCCAGTTCCCGGCGCTGCTCCTCCAGCGGCGCCAGCATCTGCTCCTCGCGCCGCTGCAGCTGTAGGTGCCGAGCGGAGAGACACGGTCAGAAACAGCGGGGGGGGGGGGAGTGGGATGGGAAACGCCACAGTCACAGTGGGGGCAGGATGTCATATTTGGTCTACCAAAGTAACACCGAAAACTTTCAGCACACGAATATTGAACATTTAACTAGGCAAAAGCTCACCAACCAAGATAACAGGCAAAAGCTCACCAACCAAGTTAAACTATCGTGATTGTTCTACACATGACAACGGAAACACATACAACTAGACTAGCCATAAGCACAATTTCCCACCGTCAAGTTCTGCCGTGTGCCCGATTCCCAGCCTCACACTTACATCCTCCTCGGACTCTTTGAGCTTGTTGCGCTTCTCCTTGACCTTCATCTCGAACACCTGTTCCATTTCGGCCTCCATCTTCTTCATCTTGAGCTCGTGGTCCCTCTTCTCCTCCTCCATCTGGGCCAGAGGGTTCCTGGGGAAGGGAAGGTCGAGGTTAGGGCGAGGAAGATAGACGACAGCGGTGGGTTGGTAAATAGCAAGGGGTATACCAGGGCATAGGTCAGATAGGAGCGGCGATAGAACATGGAGAGGTCAGAAGACATGGTGATCAATTTAATGGGAATATGTTGCTGGCTGACGCTGTAATTACCGGTGACAGTCTGCCGGTCGACGGTGGACCGGTTACGTCTGTGTTACTTGGTGCACGGATGTAAGAGTATGGAGAACCTGGTAAAGGCTTATGACAAAAAAATCGTCCGCATGCATGAGTTTCTCACAGCTTGTTCTAACTGACATTTAAAAACTGGATAAACATTAAACATGCTTTGGAAAGACGAAACGTCAGACTAATTATTATTCTAATGGGGAACTTCTCCGGTCATGGATTTTATAACAGAGATAAGTCAAACGCACGAAGAGGGGATAATCACACATGCAGGTTCCGCGTCTCTGAGATGCTCGCTTCAATTACTAGGCACTTCATCTATGATAGGAACACCTTCGTTGTATTCAAGTTCATTCGTACATTTGTATTTACATAAATGGGTACAACCGTGCGCTGGAAATCACCAAAAACCTGGAACACCAGTAGACTAAGCACACTACACAGCACAACTAACACGCTCACACTCACACATGCA